CCCCCACTAGACAAGTTGTTTAAACGGACCACGTCGCATTAGAGTGAGGAAATGAACAAATTAACTAGCAAAGCATGACTATTAAATACTACTATCAAAAAAAAAACAATTGAAAGTCCACTTTTAGCTCACAGCTGAATATGGTGAGGCCAATTAAGAGCAAAATACTATTTGGAAAAATATGTGGAAAGTGCCTTAACCTCCAGTAATTTCTACCGCGTTCCAACTTGTATAGAGGGACTATTGCCAACCAAAATGCCATTCACAATTATTGGCTGATCCTCGAGAGACTTTTAAGGGAAAATGCTGTTCCAGCATACTATGTAGTACAACGCAACAGGTAAATTGTTATTAGTGGAAAGTTGTTAAAAAAATGCACATATTAAAATAGGACTGGAAGGGACTGTTGGAATGAACAAACATACGGCGTTAAACTTGAACGCCAAAAGTGGAAAATAGACAAACAAAGGTGGTAAATTTGTGTAATTATATATGTAATTTAACACCATAACTAAGTTAGCAATCAGTCAAGCTTAGAGTCTGGATTCCAATTGAGCTGAATGACAAGCGTCGAGTACATTTCATTCACTATCTCTCTCGGACTATTTCCACAAACAGTAAAGCAAAAAAGTGAACCTCTCAATATTTATAAACACTTGAGACATTGTTTGCAGAAATAAAGGTTCTTTAAACAAAAGTAATAAGGCTAAATATTCTTGTGATGCTACTAATACATTTACATCCAGTGCTTCTCAAACTCCAGTCTCCTGCTGAAGCATTATCTACCATGGAGCTTTCTGCTCGAATTGTACTCATTAGCCAGAAATCACTTAAGAGCAACTAATCGCATACACTCTAGCGAATCTTTCCTGCCTAAAGTCGTTTCAGCACGACTTATCTCAGAGTCCAAGAACCAACTGGTCCCGAAAGCCAGCCTCCTTGAATACTGGGCAAATTGAATATACCAGCTAGAGACAAGAAATGCTGCTGTATGTTTGTCTCCTTCAGAACTTCTAAACTAACTAGAAAGAAAGTTAAAAATCTTGGTCTGGTCAACTGCATTGGAGCTAAACCAAAACTCGTTTTCCGTACTAGGCAATCGGCACAGGTGGAAGATAAGCGCAAAACCATAAGAAATAATTCTTGCTCAATTGGAACAGATCAAGAGTGAAAACGGTTGTACTCATTTCTTCCCAAAACCTCCTTAAATGCATTCAAACAAGAGCACTTTGTTCTTACGGAGATCTCAGTCTTGTTGGGCCTATCCAAGAAACTTCTTTTATTATGCTGATGAATTCATAATCAAGTGGTCCAAGGGCATACCTCTTAAATCTCCAGCAAATCCTAACACTACCCGCTGCCTAGCAAAGATAGTCACCACTCATGACATACCAAGGGTTAGGTCTCGTGAAAGTCATCGAAGTCACCTCTGCTCCATCTGATGACTCTTGTAGTGATCTATGCTTGTCCCTTTTACATTCTCCGCCTTATCTCATTTTTTTTAATTAACTAATTTCGGCAGTGTGAAAAGGCCGCTTCACGTGCCACCAGGGAAGAAGGCAATGAAAGAGATCCTCAATATTTATGTCCAAATCTAGGTGCACCAACGTTGTTCAAAAGCGGATTTACATTCCAGACCAAAAGCAGATCAAACAGAAATGATCTTGGATGTATGTCACCTCACACTACCGTGGAATTCCTAATCCTCAGAGACCCAATGCAATTATTGACCTGGCCGTTACTCCGGACCTCTGAAATGACTCAAGGGTGATCTAATGCTCAACAAACGGTTTTGGACAAAAAATAATTTAATGTCAATTATTCAATGTTTGGTACAATTTCGAATGAATTGTGAAAATAAGCTTAATCCCGTATTATTATTGAAGTTGACGGATTTGCAGATATTTTTTAGATTAATTATTCCAAAAAATGCATCAGACATTTAGAAACGAATATTTACTTGTAGACTGCCCCAATTGGCAGCAACACACTCTAAGACCCAATTCACCATTAAGGAGTACGAAAATGGTTTTATTTGAGAGTGTCTTTGTTGAAAACCGTGCCTTCTTTTACTAGTAATTCCATATCGATTTCGAAGCGATTTAGCATTTTGACTTTGAGACCAAAACGATTAGATAAAAAACGTCAATGTGAAGAAATACTTTTAAATGCCTAAAATGAATTAGGAACTAGACTTAAGTTGCCTAATTTATGAGTGGTAGCATCAAATCTCATTTTCGAAAGAATGTTCATGCTGAAAACGTAGAGAATAACGTTTATTATCGCATTATCAATAAAAAAGAAGATAAGTTACATTGATGAGGAATATAAATGATAAAACTATCTAAGTTTGGCAGCAGTGGAGTCAGAGGTAATTGAATTAATTAAGAAATAATTAAGTAACTAAAACCTTATTTTATATAAAATATGACAAGAATAGCATAAGTATATAGCGCGGATCATATGACATAATGAAAACAATTTAATTCACTCAGGAAAGAAATTTTGCAAATTTAATTGTAGGAGTAAAATTAAATGGGCTATTACTGAGTAATTGTCCTAAAAAATGTTTGTCGACTCTGTGGTCAAATAACCATAAGCGTGAAATGTAAGGCTGTGTTCAACTTCCAATGCAATATATCAGATATCCACGATTAAAAATATTAAATGAAAATAAAAAACTCACTTTAAGGTCACAAGAAGCATTAATGAGAAGATTGGAAGGTTTAAGATCGCGATGAATGACATTGGCGGAGTGAATATATTTGAGACCTCAAAATAAACATTGATTGCGAAATCTTACCTCGAAGAATTTGATAAAGGAAATAACAAATGTGGTCATTAGAAATAGCCTGACTCTTAAGAAGACGATACAAATCAGTATCCATGCAAGTCTGAACAATGTAACTAAAAAGGGAAAGTAAAGCAAAAATATGACATACACATCTTTCATAGTATCCAGAGTGTTTCCAGCAAGAATAACGTCTCTAATATCAATAATCTAAAAATCGAAGAAAGAAAAATATATATTATGTTTACAAGTTAAATTATGTTTGAGAAAAAATAATAAAATCATTATATTAATATATAAAAATAAATATATAGGTTTAAGAAAAATTAAGCATACATTTTCATGTTTGAAACGGAGCAAAATTTTCACTTCCCGATAAGTACGTTGGCAGAAAGTTTGATGTTCAAACGGAGTGGACTTTTTAATGGCAACTCTATCACCGGTACGGACATCAATAGCTGAGCTAGCACAAGAAATAATAAAATGGCGTAAAATTACCAAACGATCCCATACGCTCCTTCTCCAATGGTCTTAAAATCCGTATAATTCGGTCCTACTTCAAAAACTACAGCCTTTGACGAAGACCTTGAGGAACTCATAGCTTTTTAATAAATACCTCGGCTGATAATGTCAACAATACCAAAAGTCCGCGAAATTTCCACCAATTACTAATCTCCAAATGACCTTAAAATTATTTAAAACAAACATATTTTGAAAAATGTTCCAATATTAATCGTGAATATTAAATCTTTTAGGATCTTTTAAAAAATATTTATGAGTAATAAATCTGTTAAAATTCGAAATTGATCACTTTAAATGAATAATTTTTTATGAACAGTGAGAAATCAATTCCAACTTCGCAATTTCAATTCTAGTAGATTTTGAAATATTTTTCATTTCATATTGAAAATAATGCTTTTTAACATAATCAATTCTGATAGGGTTACGGTTATTGTTAGAAAATAACATGTAATATCAAGCATTAATAAACAGTCGCTTTAGGAATTTTATTTATTCCAACCTTCGCCTGTGAAGTATATTACGCTAGTTCTTGTCTTTTTTCTATTTAGATAATATAAGCTTGTTTCATTATCATACTTAATTTGTGGAAACCAACTGTAACTAACGAATAATAAATAAATAATGATTCGGTAAATTGCTGGATCGTATTTAAAACTCAAATAAGCTGAGGAAGTATGGTAAATGAGACCTTATCAAGTTAGGAGCAAATTACAACATCTGGCAACAGAAATTAAGAATGAGTTCTCAGACATAGCAAATGATATGTAATCAAAATCAAAATAAATTTTGTCTGAAACCCTAGAGATGGCAGTGACGACGATATATTTGCAGCTTTTGATGTTTTTTATAAATATCCACTTTACTAGAGCAACGTGTGTACTATGGAAGTTTATTGATTAATTTGAATAGCCCAGCTATTATTTAGACGGTATGTACAATTCAAAGCATAAGCAAATTTAAAATAAACACTAATACATTCGAGAAGAAGTAAAAGTAATTTCATTTTGCATTTAAAAAGCTATCTTACTATATGAACATTGGGAGACTTCAATTTTTCGTCTTCCAGAGTATTGTAATAGTAGACTTGGAAACATTGGATCTACGGATACGAATAACCCTGTAAAATGAGTGTTCACATATGAAATATAGAGGTTTTATTAAGGGAAATTTTAAATATATTCACATCATATACAAAGGTAGGAATTCACATGTGTATCTAAAATCATGTCGTGTTTGTTATGGAGGTGGTTAGGGCTCCTCGTTCATCACATGTAATCACGATGACTATGCACTACAGACTGTAGTACATAGTTACATTTTTGGGAGCAGGCAAAAGTGAACTTTTCTTCATTCAACCAATACGCTCGTAATCATTTTGCTTCATTGCAGTTTCCAAAGTGTATTCATGCCATTGCCTACAAATCGTTAATGTGACCCTGGGGCACGACGTTAGTAAACACGAATATTAAAAGAAAATTTTTAGCAAGACGTATTATTCACCCCATATATTTCATATATAAAATAAACAGGCTACTAATTTGAAAACGAAATTATGTTTAAAGATAAACCTAATTTTGACACTGTGAAAGCATGAGACATTTAATGTTTTACAGCAGATAAATAGCATTAATTAGCGTACTAGTAAGAATCGCTTAAAATTTTTATTAATAGCATAAGTGTTATAAATAAAATCATAATAAATTAATATGAAATACTCTCTCAACGTCTATGGACATGATCATTTGAACTAAATTTATTCATCTGAATAGCATTTAAAACGGAGTATCCCGGTTCTAGAGCATTTTAGTCAAGCAAAAATAGAACATACGAATTTTGTGCATAATTTTATGAGCAGTAACAAAAAAGCGACAACACCGAAACAGGCTGATGATAAAAAACTTTAAAATTTTACTTACTTAAAATGTCTGCATGTATTAAAACCTACTTAATTTCCGATTATTGTTGCGCTTCACAACATGAAGATGAGTATAATATAACAAAAATAAATACAAAGTACCCTTTGATTATATGCTAAACATTACATATCCATTTCAATTCGTATTTACTGTTTTTTAAAGACCGAAAAATAAGTCTTAATATTTTTATACATTTATACAAAGGCAGAGAAAAATAAAATGTTTGATACACAAAGTCTTAATGGAAATAAATATAATATTTGATTGCTAAAAAGTAAAATGTTGTAAATATAATTTTAGATAAGATTAATTTAAGTTAGTTTTATTCAAAATATTCCTGATTTTCATATTGTTTATGTTGTCAAGGCCCTCCTTTCAGACATCTTAGTTTCAGCGTATCTCTAGTGCGTAATGGGTGATCGCGATACATGTTATTCATGTGGAGAGCACGGTCATTTTGCTCGAGACTGTCCTCAAGGCGGCTCTAGTGGCCGTGCACGCGGCGGTCGACGAGGTGGTGGCTTTAGCGGTGGATATGGCGGTTATGGAGGCTACGGTAGTGGTGGCGGTGGCTATAGTGGTAAGAGTAGAACTGTCGTGCAGTCTAATTGCTGCGCCGATATTGTCGATCCTTCCAGACTGGCTTGCCGGTGGCGGCGGATCGTTATGTTTGAAATGTTGTCAAGTTTCGCGCCCACGGCCCTTCAAGCGTCGATGTTCGTGAGAGGGTTGTGAGCACGTTCTTGCCAAGCGAAATGTTCTTTGTGTTGACCAAAATTGTGTTTTTGTTGCTGCAGATGGATGCTACAATTGTGGGGAGCCAGGTCACATCGCACGGAATTGTACTGGTATGAGAAATTCAAACAATGGCAATAGTGGTAGCGGCGGTCGTAGCTGCTACAATTGTGGTGAAGAAGGTCATATCTCGCGGGATTGCCCGCAGGGTGGCTCAAAAGATAGAGTGCAATGCTACAGATGTCGTGGCTTTGGTCACCTTTCACGTGATTGCACTCAAGGTGGTGATGGCCCCATGTGTTACAAGTGCAAAGGTTTTGGACATATCGCGAATCAGTGCCCTGCATAACATATTTTAATAATTATAATGATGAGTGTTGTTAGTAAATGTGTGAAAGTTATCTTACCTTTTGTTATTACGTTGAAAAGACGTTTGGGTTTTGTTGACTGAAGTGCACAGTTCTAAATGGATTTATCAGTAACATGGCTTCTCGTGATTTGCGCTGTACGTTCATGTTGTGTTGGCCGCTGGCTCGTCTAGGTTGGCCTTGTCGGTTATTTTTTAGTCGACATTTGCTTGTTTTGTCAGCGATCTTGTTTTTCCTTGTGGTTTTATTTGTGTAAGTTACTAGTTTGGAGAGTTAGATCTCCCTTGTGCTGCAGGTTCAATGTTGAGGAGTGGTGTTAATTATTTGTTTTTATTGTCACCAAGGTAAGAGTTAAATACGTCGTGATACGCTTTTTTCGTACGGGTTGGGTTTGTGGTTGTTTTCATAATATCCCGTTGGGTTCACTTATCTAATAACGTGTTTGGTTTGATTTTTTTGCCATCGAAATGCCAGAGTGATTCGTTGGCGGAGGTCGCCACTTCGTGGTCTCTCCCCTTTTTACGAGATAACTAGTTTACTGAAGTGACAGATTGCCAATAATTGATTTGGTGTCGATGGTTCTCTACGCCGCTTGTCCGATGTTATTGTGGAAGTCACGATCCTATTTCTTACCACAACTGCGTGTTTATTTGGTCATTAAAGGTCTGCTCTTCTGAACAGAAGTGTTAGGTGTTGCTTTCTGCCCTGGTTAAACTTCGCAAGTGGTAGAGAGTTTGAATTTGGGCCCCTTTAATGCCATTCCTTTTGTCTTCCTTAAGTGTGAGCTCAGCTTGTGAAATCCTGCAATTTAAGCTTTGATGTTTAAACGTCTGGAGGGCTGCCGGGTCATTGCCGATCGTATCTACGAAGATTGGTTGGCATGACTTAGGCAAATTCTAAACATGGTTGAGTGAGGATTAAATTTTGCCTCCTTAAATCACAACTCTCAAGCTAGGATATCTAAAATTAACATAAACGGGCATGCATGAAACAGATGGGGAGGCGGATGTGATCGAGCGTGGCGGTTCCCGAAAAGTGATAGAAAAGTAATTAAAGACTTACTAGTCTGATGACCTGACCAAATTTGCACATGTCCTGGAATGTGGGGAAGTGGTTTCCTATACTGTACGCCTGACTTCTTGCTTAAATCACTTTCTAAGTTCGACCCCGTCCTAATAAACTTCTTATCGCAAATTGAACTCTCACATAAAGCTGCTGAAAAACACTAGTTTCTCGGGGGATTTTAATTAATTGAGGAGTACAAGGCAGGCGGCAATTGACCCTATTACTCTGGCCTTAGTAGAACAATTAACTTCCTCTGAAAGCAAAAAATCATTATTTTAAGGGCGAAATAAATTTCTTAAGGTTGGCTTATGTTAGGGAGGCAACATTGGGTAACCATAACTTAGGAATTTATCTATGAACGTAGAGATCTCGCAGATATAAGTACTCTCTTAGCAGCCGTGAGCTTAAGAATCTGAAGAAAGACTGATCTTATGTTGATTGAAGCTTACAAGTTGCCATTGTGTATAAGTGACATGGATACAAAAGTTCAGTGAGGTGAAAATTTCACTCACTGTCTCTTGTTACGACCTTTTGGGAGTATAGAAACAGAAACATGCTCCTTTAAAACTAAGTTAATTTCTACAGAAATGGCTTGAGAGTATGTAGAATCTCTACGTAGAGCGTAAGCATGATTCATGATTGGATTCGAAAATAAATGTCTACTTAAAACATATTAAGAATCTACCTAGTACAAGGATATTGAAAAAAAACATTACTTGTTTTAATATCTTCAAGACGCCATCCTAAACTGAAGGAAAACATAAGTTCTCATTGTTTATGCAATAACTTGCAAGGGTACAATCCGAAATATGAGCTGTATGAAGAATAAATACTAGCACTTATCAACAATTTTAGAGATAAACGTTATTTTCATTAATAATGAGAACAACAAATACAATAAAATAGTTATTTCCTCATAGGAAAATGTCACACCTTCATATTGACACCTGTCCTTTTTAAGTCGCATTTTCCTTGTAAAGCTTCTTCCTTTCACTAGCATTTCCATTTGAGATTTTCCCATCAGATCTTGGTTACCTAACCGTCCAGAATCTCACGAGTGCATCATCGAAATTTCTTAATTTTGCATCCCCCACTTATAGTGAGATCTATTCTTCTTCCTCTTAAATCACAACGTCCACTTTTGTGTTTTCCTTCAAAATATTTCCATTCCCTCTCTCTCTCTCCCTCTCTTTTACCAACGAACTTCACTTTGGACGCTAGTTTCATTTCAGTGACTATCGCTGTCACTAGTTTAGGACACTGATTATTTCTTAACCTTTTTATCTGTTCGTTTTTAAACCCGCTCGTAGGGGCTCTGACTACTTTCATTTAGTTTTAAACCCACTTTCGAAGCTGGCCAGTGTTCTGCTATCTGACTGATACTTATATTGGTAGTTGGCTGGTAGTCTTCTGAATTATGGTTTAGCTCAGCACACCTTTGTCACACAAGTCAAAAATGTAAGATTTATATGAACCTACTTGTACAAAACCATTCGATTTCATATGAGGCCCAATGATCAGCGCACATCGGGCCAAAACGACTTTTTGTCGGCGCTCAATGACTCATAGGTCGTCTCAGTCTAAACACCCAAAACGTGACTCCGAAAGGGAGTAAGGAATCCAGCCATCATAACTGTACTTTATTTTAGCCTGTGTACACCCAAACCTACTGATATGGGGGCAGTTAAGTAGTGTTAACTAGCTATCTGTCCTTCAAACATCTTTTTCTCACCCTCTGCGAGCATTCAATGCACAACTTTTCACAGCGGCACCCGCTCACCTGTTTCGAAAAACAATGTTATTTTCAGTTCAAAGATATCTCTTATGGCTACAAAAATAGCTTATCATCAACGTAATTTGAATTTACTTGTGATCAAATATTTGTGCTTAACAAATACATCAAGCAAGAAACCTCCAATAAACTAAAAGATTGAAATATAAATCGGTGTTATTTCATTCTAATCCAAACCAATAATAGCAGCGTGCTAATATTTAATAATTGATAATAAGCTTTAAGAAATAACACCTAAGGTTAGGTAATTATGTGACCAACCAATTTACTGATCAATTGAAATGGTGCTAACTTGCAATAATAGCATGTGCAGTGGAAAACGTAACTTGTATGAGCCACAACTTTTGCAGGTTGGCTTAAAAGAACGCCAACCACTTAAAGCAAGTTATAGGAGACATTGTAAATGCATTTGCAATGCTCTCATTTGTAACGATTTTATATTCTAAATACTATGAACTTGGAAAATATTGCGCGAAAGTGATTCGGAAAAAATACCTTTTGCATGAAGAAGTCAAAAAATGATAAAAAATTTTCAAAAGACATGGATTTGGAGTTAAATTAAAATGAAGTGGTCGTCATGTGATTCCTATGCATGGCGAAAATATAAGATGGCATTTCTCTGTGCAGATCAGCCGATACTATTAGCATCAGACGATTGATCCAGTTAAATGATATTCATCCAAATTGTAATCTATTGGGTTGGCAACTAAGTCATTGCCGTTTTTGTTGACGGATTCACTCTATACTTTCTTTTGTTTTGTTAACGTGGCCAGAGCATCTAACCTATATTTTTTCTTACTGTATGGGCTTCTAGGTTAATTAGTAAAATATTTTTTTTGTTTAGTTCTTTAGTTTTGTTTTTATCCCAATTTAAAAATGAAAGAACAGGACGTGCACTTCCGACACATTTTATTGTATTACTTCCGAAAAGGCAAGAACGCATCGCAAGCACAAAAGAAGTTATGTGCCGTATATGGAGATGAAGCCTTAAAAGAAAGGCAGTGTCGAAATTGGTTTGAAAGATTTCGTTCCTGTGATTTTTTTCACTGAAAAATTCACAACGATCTGGCCGCCCAGTCGAAGTGGATGAAACCCATATCAAGGCCATTATCGATTCAAATCGTCACAGCACAACACGAGCTATTGCAGAGAAGCTCAATGTGTCGCATACATTCATTGAAAACAAATTAAAAACCCTTTGCTATGTCAAGAAACTTGATTTATGGATCCCTCACCAGTTAAAGGAAATTCATTTGACGCAACGGATTAGCATCTGTGATTCGCCGCTACTGAAACGCAATGAGAATGAGAATGATCCATTTCTGAAGAACCTAGTTACTGGTGACGAAAAGTGGATAGTTTATAACAATGTTACTCGCAAGAGATCATGGGTGAAGCAAGATCAACCAGCCCAAACAGTATCAAAAGCAGAGATTCACCAAAAAAAGATTATGCTGTCAGTCTGGTGGGGGGATCACAAAGGAATTTTGTATTTTGAACTCATGCCGCAGAACCAAACGATAAATTCAAATGTGTATGTTGAAGAACTCGAAAAACTGAAGGATGCAATTGAAGATAAGCGGCCGGCATTATCAAATCGGAAGGGTGTTGTTTTCCATCATGATGACGCAAGGCCCCACACATCTTTGGTTACTCGGCAAAAATTATTGGAACTGGGTTGGAATGTTTTGTCGCACCCACCATATAGCTCTGACCTTGCGCCTTCGGATTACCATTTGTTTTGTTCCATGCAAAACTCTTTAAATGGTAAAATTTTTAACAACGCGGATGATGTCGGATCACACCTAATTCAGTTTTTTAATAGCAATGACCAGACATTTTACGAACGGGGAATTTTTACTCTGCCAGAACGATGGAAAAAGGTCATCGACAAGAACGGCCAATATCTAATTGAATAAAGTTATATATTTAAACAAAAATTCCGAATTTGCCTTCTTATTTGAAATCGGCAATGACTTAGTTGCCAACCCAATATTTATAGTTATTTTAAGAGTCAAGAGGTATGCGATAGACTTACCTCCACGTGGTGCACCCTGGTCAACTTATACTCATACGGCAATACAGTCTATCAACCGGCACTTGACTTCTCACTTCAGACTACCA